CACACACACACACACACACACACACACACACACACACACACACACACTTACAGATGGCTGTGAGCTGCCACGTAGTTCTGAGAATTGAACCTGGGTCCTCAGGAGGAGCAGCTGGTGCCCTTACTGCTGAGCCATCCCTCTGCTCTCATTTCGTTTTTTTCTAGTGTACGATGACCCCTTCCCTCCTGCGCTCACTGAGATTGAAGCAATAAACTGATTTTCTCTACCGCAGGCATTATGGTGGAGCCAGCCAAATGTAGGTATGCAAATAAGTTTGGCAGAGAGCTACCAAGGGCTTACTATATATACATATATATATATATATATATATATATATATATATATATATATATATAATGCTATGCTTCAATGATAATAAAAGTTTGTAGCTTGGCTTGGAATACTAAAATATGGACATGCTTAACTGATGGCAGATGATACAGAATCTTTCCATACTGATTAATGTTAAATACCCTGAAGTACAAAGAAGAATGTGATACTTCTAGACTAAACACGAGATTTTAATTCAAGTTACTATGATTCAAAATTTTAAAATGAATATAAGGTGGGGAGGCCCATGTTACTTCAGGCAGCACCACTCCGGGCAGATGGCCTGGCTGTAGAAGAAAGGCGGTGAACAAAGCCAAGCCAGCATGCAGCACTCCATCATGGCTTCGGCTCCCTTCCACTCCTGCCTCCAGGTTTCTGCCTTGACTTCCCTCGGTGATGAACTGTTAACTGGAAGTGAAAACGAAACAAATCCTTTCCTCTCTGAGCTTCTTTTGGTCAATGTTTTATCCTAGCAGCACAAATCCAAACTAAGACAAAGCTTTCCTGCCTTTATCCCACACACGCATTTTCAAAGCAGCATTATTTTTTCTGTATCTTCCCCAAGTGGTTTCTGTGTGTGGAACAATATGAATGCAGCTTCCCCTTTCCTCCCTTCAAATGGAGGAATTCATGTAAACAGTACATTGTTCCCTTTATATAATGTACATATTGGAAATTTCTATCAATATATAAAGAGCTTTTTAATTGTAGCGTGTATGTGTGTATGACAATATCTTGCTATATAGCCCACGATAGCCTTGAACTCACTCGCCTTTTACACCAACCTCTTGAGTGTTGTGATTACAGGTGTGCAGCTCTACAGCTGGTCCTTTTATTATTTTAACAGCTGGGTCCATAATACAAGTACCTGTAAGTCACTTAACTATTCTGCCAGAGCACGCTCTTCTCAGCCTTCCACAGCTGCCATGTCACCCCCTCCAAGGCTTGGGGGACAGCACTGATGGGCGTTAGCTTCTGCTGCATGTCTGGGGCTCTCGGAGAGCAAAGAAACAGGTGACAGGCAAGAAGACTTGAGAAGGCACACAGCAGCTTCAAAGGTCCGACAGTCTCCAGCAGGACAGACTCCCACTCCATGAAGACTGGAGACGTGGCTGTTTCCTCACACACAGGAAGTCAAGGCTGTCTAACACGGCCCCTAACCGATGAAGAAAAAGAAAAAATGAAGTATTCCACAGAGAAGCAGGCAGGTCTCAGAAGGCGGCAGCCAAGAGCTGCTCAGAGTTCCAGACCACACCCATAGTGAGCACCGTGACCACACCTGTCACAGCGCCCGCCCCACGCGCACTGTCCTCCTACCACAGTAAAAGTGTCAGGTGAACACTGAGAAGCTATGCTACACTGCGTCAAGTAAGTGTGCCCTGGCGTCCCACCTGAAGAGGTGCACACACCGCACAGCCCTGTACTGCAGAAGCTGCTGAGCACCTGCGACCTTGCTGAGCCACCTTGCCGGGTGGAGACCTGTCTCAGTGCTGACGGCTGCTGAGTCCAGACAGTTCTGATGAGGAAGGGAGACTGGAACATTCTTAGAGTGGGGCAAAAATGAAGTCTGTGCACTAACTGGCCTTTCCTTCCATCAAGAGGTCTCTCTGAAGAACGAGAGCTGTTTCACCAACACACGCTTCACACTGAGCAGAACTTTGAGCTGATGCTCTCCAGCCCTGAGAGGAAGAGTTAGCAACTCGGAATGAGCCTCCTAATTGTTTATCCAATACAAAATGATCAGCCCTGAAATCATGTACACAAACCACACTAAATGCCCTCAACAGGCCGGGTTATAGATTTTTCCACGTATGCACCCCCCCGTGTGTGTGTGTGTGTGTGTGTGTGTGTGTGTGTGTGTGTGTGTGTGTCATGTGTAACAATAATCAGAGAGACCATCAGTCTGAGATGGAGTGAGGGAGGGAGAGTGGACTTTGGAGTGTAAGAAAAAGGAAACACGGGGGAGGGCTGGGGAGGGGACATGGAGAGTCAAGGACGACAGAGAAGGGGAAAGTGATACAATTATATCTTAAAAATGTTAACAAAAATGCCAGAGCCTGCCAGCAGAGTCGAACGGTTCTTGAGTCAGAGTGAGAATTAAAATTAATAAACTAACACACGACACGTGGGACCTTTCTGAGGGCCTCTACTGGAGACTAGACTAGACCCTGGCTTTATTTTAGACTGCTTTTAAGCCAGAGTAAAAACAGCTCAGTACAATGGGTTAAATTCACAAGTAGGTGAAACAAGAGGTGTGATCTTGACAAGCTCTCCCACCTGCTGTCACAAATAAAGGAGATGGACTTGGAAATTCTTCCCTGACTTCAGTGAAGGCCTAGTGAAACCAGTCTTTCTGCTGAGATTTAAATATCAAAGCAGCTGCTAGAACATCAGCTCCCAACAGGTTCCCCTTTTTTATTTTTTTAAAATTTGACCATAACTTAAGAGTTATGGAGCAGAAGATTGTGCCTGTCTTAGGTTGTTTCTCTCATAAGATATATTCTTACCTCTCTTTGGTACATGAATTCCATCATTCCTGCCCTGCCTTGGGTTAAATATATCCCAGAGAAGTATTACCCGTCATTGACTACCAATCTCTGCTGGGGTAGACACTGGGGTTTAATCTTATGCAGATCAGCTCAGCTTTAACATTCTATAAGGCCTTCAGGCACGTTTTAATTGTCACCAATAGGAACACATCTCCTATCACAAGCCAAGTCCAAAATAACACTCCACAAAAGTGACATAACAAATGACTCCTTGTGTAAATACCAAGTCTGAGAAACATTCATAGGAACCATAGTAAAAGGCTGTCGAACAATCAGAACCATTTGAAAGCTTACAAATACAATTTGTCAGTTTACATTGAAGGCAAGAAACATTAAAGTTTGAATCTTGTTAACATTTCCAAACAACAAAGCAAAAGGAGAATTTACATAGGCAGTTACAGGGCCTCCCAAGAGTTTCTGAAGCAAGCTTGTTTTGGTCTGCTGAAAACCAGAGTCAGACCAAAGTTTCACAGTTAGTCCTCTTTTTCATTCTTCCTGATTTTGTTGAGAATTGTCCTCATTAACAGAACAATCAAGTCCAGTCCATTGTATAAGAGGTGTCTCTTCATGATGCCTTCTTCTAGGAGCAGGATGAAACAAAAGCGGGTCAGGAGCTTAAGTCCAATGCAGCTTTTTGGTCTCAGTCAGGGCAGAATTTACGATTGTCTGCAGCGGGAACATCCTCCTTCTGGGGAACAACTCCTGCAAACCGTACCAGCCTTTCTGGGATCCATCTGGCTCCCTCTGCGGCCTGTGGAAAAACACAAACATGCCCTCTTCCCCATATTAATATGGGGTCGGGGCCCTGCCATATTCCAGTAATCGGATCTTTCCATTTTACTTGGGCATAATTATCTTTGGTATTAGGATGCCACAATCGATCCGTGGCAGAACGGCCTTGTATATCCACATTCAAAAAATTTAAAGTAAAGAGAGCATGATTAATATTTGGGGATATGACTCCCCCCTTTTTATTTTTTGCAATTGGTTTTTAAGAGATCCATGGGCTCGTTCTATAATTTTTTGGCCTTGAGGATTATATGGAATGCCCATTTTATGATTTATATTAATGGAAGGAATACCAATTGCAGCAAAACACTTTAAGCAATGACTTATAACATGTTTGGTGGCTTTTCCTGTCATGGGAGTTGCCATGATAAATCCTGAAAAAGTGTCAATTGTTACATGAACATATTTTAGTTTTCCAAATTCTGAGACATGAGTTACATCCATTTGCCACAAATGATTGGGAGTCAAGCTTCTAGGATTGACACCATAATGAGGTACATTAAAATGTTTAGGACAAGAGGAACATGATCTTACAATTTGTCTAGCGGCTTTTCTGGTAATATTATATTGTTTTTTTTTTTAAGCTCTTGCTATTTTGATGGTGTAATGCATGAGAATTTTGAGCCAATTCTTGTTGAGTTAATCCAACCAAATGATAGAAGGATAGAAGACCCCAGAGAGGACAGGAGTTCCACAGGAAGACCGACAGAACCAACTGACCAGGGCCCAGGGGAGGGGGATCGGCCTGTGGAGACTGAAGCAGCAATCAAGGACCATACACGGACTGGATGTAGGTCCCCAGATGTAACCCATAAGCAGCTCGGTCCTCATAGAAGTCTGTTGTTGTAGGTGGCTTCAAGATGGTCACCATCACATTAAGAGATGGGGCAGTGCTGGGGAAGTTGGCAGGTCATAGAAACCAGTCTAGAAAGTTCCAAGAGTTCCCAAGCTTAAAGCGATGTCTAGTTGAGATACGTGGAAAGGTTGAGAATCAAATACAACAAACATCCTCTACATTTTGGGAGAGTTTGCATTGCCAGAAGAAATTCGTGCTTTCCCTTTAACTAAGCACGTGACTCTTTAGTCCTTAAGGCAACGCTCTGAGTGAACTGGCCTTGGAGGGTCATAAATAAAGCAGAACCTGGATTCAGAGCCAGAATAGAGTGAACAGAAGACAGAGTGCCACCAACTGTCTCCTCTTATCTTGTTCCATGTGGACCAGGACATGTCTCAGGGGGCTGATATAGAGAAAGAACCAGATTCCTGAATGAATACAGGGAAAGAGAAATTAACTCCATCGTCATGTGTGCATGTATGTTTGGAGGCCAGGTGTCAACCTTGAGTGTTGATTGCCAGAGGATGTCCACTGTATTTGGAGACCAGGTCTGTTGTTTTCCTGGATCCCAGGAGGCCGAGCTAGAGGCTGGGCTGGCTAGCCAGCAGGCTGAGGCCTGGGAATCTGTGTCCATCTACCCAGTGCTGGGTTACAAGCATGTATCACTATGCTCCACCAAGCTCAGCTCTTTCATGTGGGTTCTGGGGATCAAACTCAGGTTCTCACACTTGCACAGTAAGCTCTTCACCAGCTGAGTTGTCTTCCAAGCCCTGGATCCTTTTTATAGCAGCCTGGCTAACTACTGAAAGGTATGGAACTGGGACATTTCCTTCTCCCTTAAATTTATTCTCCCAAGAGACTTGGAGAAAGGGCAATCCTCTTATTCTCATATCTGAGACTAAAATTTGAAGACTTTCTTGGTTCCGTTCCTTACCAAGTGCAGAGCCTCAAATCAAGAGTTGCATTTATGATTTAGTCTGGGGCTTCCCAGTCATGGAATAACCTCTCTTTCATCTTAAGAATTTAGTATCACCCTGCTAAAGAGCACTAGTAGCATATTTGTAAGTAAAATAAGGTTAGGTTTACCAGTCTACTACTGAAGTTGGGAAGAAACCTCTAAGGGCAGTCCGGGCATCTCAGAAAGAACTTGGGCTGTGGAGCTGGCTTAGTCAGTAAGCTACTTCTCCTGAAAGCCCAGGGACCTCCGTTCGGATCCCTAGGATCCACACAAGAAGCCAAGCATGGTGGAATGCACCTGTAATCTCAGTCCTGGGGAAGCAGAGGCAGGAGGGTCCCGGGGGTTTGCTGGTCAGCCTGGCTAGCCACATTCATCCGCTCTTGGTTTAGGGAAAGATTCTATCCTAGAAAGCAAGGTGGAGAATGTAGAGGAGGATGTTTGACACCAACTTCTACATATACACATGCACACACACACACGCTCATTGGTGCACACGCACAAACACACAAGATAATTTTTATAAAAGGAATGAAACAAGAAACCTACTATAGGATTTGGGGATGTCTCAGGAAGCTCTAGGTTGGGTGCAATTAGAAAACAACAACAGCTGAGTGATTAGATAGCCCAATAAATCTCATTTATAGTAAGTGGAGACAAACATAAAGCCAACCCTGCGACGGGTGGAGAAGCAGCTGTCAGTCATTTTAGCTAGAGGACAGACATGTTTATAGACGACAAAATGATCTTGTATTTACGACCCCAGCATGGTCTTGCCTGATGTTGATATTTTATGAGGTTATTTATGTCTGACAAGACATTCTGGGCCAACCGTGAGCATTAGGCCAGCTTGCTGAAATGGGGACTCCTAGCTCTAAAATTCTACAGCCAAAGGTAGTCATCTTGCTGTATGTCCAGATAAGGGTGGGGAGCTGTTCTCAGATCATTCTGTCTCTGATGGGTGCATCTTCATCCAGCATCTCTGTCGGGTCTTTGTTACAGTTGCCCCCAACCCTGTATGTTTAGTTAGCTGCAGTCTACTCCCAGATGATGAAGGATAATGGAGACCAGCGAGTTCTACCCTGTCAGCCGTCATCACTTCCCTGTCTTCTTCCCTTAGAAAGAGATTACTCTGCCTGACTTTGCATGTTATTACTATTTCACCCATCATTTCCAGAGTGTTTGGTGTTGAAGGGGCAGGCTTCAGGGTGAACTCAAGCTGCCATCTTGACCTGAGACTAGCCAAAGTTTTCTGTGCATTTCTCTGGGTGTGGTCTCTTGACTCATGGTAGCATTTTCAGTCATCAACACAGTCCTAGAGTGGAACTGTTATTTAATTTCCTAAGTATTCTCAAGGATAGCTTAGGTTGTGCACTTTTTTTTTTTTTTTTTTGTCTTTTAAATTCCAAGATTTAGCCAGCTGTGGTGGCACCCAGAGAGGCAGAGGCAGGTGGATCTCTGTGAGTTCTAGGCCAGCCTGGTCGACAAAATGAGTCCAATACAGCAAGGGCTACACAGATAAACCCTGTCTTGAAAAAAAAAAAACCCGAAATTTCCAGATTAAAAGTTAAAAGCTGGGCATGGTGGTACATAGATGTAGCTGCAGCCACTTATAAGGCTGTGGCTAGAGACTGATTTGGACCCAGAAATTTCAGGCCAGTCCAGTAGACATGGTAAGAATCTATCAGAGGTGGGGAAGAAATGAGTAGGAGACAGTATGGGGGGTGTCTCAGCATAATTGGTTGGCTTTCTCAATAATGTTTTGTCATATTTTAGCAAACCACACCAAGAACCTGATTCAGGAGTCATGAGCCTCAACCTAATTTAATCTCTTAGTCTAGGGATCAGAGCATGCTATGGGGAACTAGGCAATCTTTCCTCTTTAGCCTTTGTGACTCTAACATCCAAACCTTTCCCCCTTCCCCCTGACCCAGCCTGGGAGGCATGTCCTGAACTGTGTTGAGCAGACATAGCTTCAGAAGCATGTGTCTCTCTGTGCTCTGTTGGAAAGAGACCCTGTGGCTGGAGGAAGCATGCAGGAGTCTCATGTTCCTAAGGTTCTTGTAAAGCCACTAAAGCAGGAGAACCAAAGGGCAGGCAGCACTCATGGGGGCTTGGGACTATGCAGAGGAGGCGGAATGCTGACCTCAGGTTAGATTCTGGGACATAAGAAGCATCCTGGGTACAGAGCCCAGAAGGTCTGCTCACTCACTGTCAGCCCTACATTTTCCTGAACACAGAGACATATGTTTAAGTGCACGGGTAATCATTTATTGAACAGGAAGAGGAAGACATTCATGAAGAGTTGTCATGGGTGTGGCAAAGAGAAATTTAAAGCAAGCTTTGATTCTTGATGAGTCACCCTAGGTAATTAGGAAAGATGCTGAAGAGGCAGGGATTACGATTTCCTGTGGGATAGGATGGGACTCAGACGTGAGAACTTGTCACAGGATGGTGTGTGGACAGGAAGGGATGATGCTGGAGTCCAGGTGAGAAGTCCCCACTCAGCACTGAAGAAGCCAGGAAGAAAGAATACAGAAACTTGGTAAGCAGTGCTTGAATTGACATCAGGACACAGACATTCTACTATATGGAACAAAGAAGGAAAAAACAGCTCTTCCCTGCAATCTACTGACATTACTTACCATAATTCAGGGATGAAAAACCTAGAATAACTGTCTTTTTCCTTATTGATGAAGTATGAAAAATAAAAGGAATGAATAAAGAGCTGAGGCTTGTTTCCCGAACTTCGGCATAAGAAGCAGTGAAGAACTTTCAGTATATTGAGGAATAATGACAAAGGCCTTGGCTACTTTTAAAGACTTTCACACATTGTCTGAACAAAGTTTTGGAATATATGAGAAAGAGGGGACAAATGAGTCTCCTCCAGACTGGAGGAGAAGTGAAGATCACGCAGTTCCACTCCCAGGCAAGAAGCCAAGTCTGCATGGAGTTCAGATGAAGACATTGCTATTAGGAATGGGGAAATAACCGCATCTCCCACTTCTCTCTATTTTAAACTTTAATTCCTTTGGGGGAGGGGCCAAACTTCCTTAATGACAGTTAACACATTGCCGAGCCCTTTTTATGCAGCCATGCAGCAACTATGTAGAGTACACATTTTGTTTTCTTGCTTAATTGCTTGGGTCACTTACTTAAAAGCTCATGGTAGGACTAGATCACAAATCCATCCAATTCGAAGCTAAATTTCAAGCTCTCTCAACAGTTCCTGATCAAATTCTTTTTATTGTAATTTTGGGACACAATACTAAAGCTTTCGGGAGGAACTCATCCGTGTCCACCCCTCTTTGCTCCCACTGGAGATTGCCCACCTGGAGGGTCAGGCGTCTCCTCCATCTCAAGCGTGGCGACAGGCATCTGCAGGGTGGGGACAAGAACACGTTCAGGTACCAGGCCCGCTTTATTTCCCCAAGAGGAACCAGATGCCTCTCCAGCTTGCAACAAACGTCCCCCAGGTTTGTTTCTTCTATGATATAAAATTCAGGATGAGGAAACCAGATGAGCCCTGACTTACCTGCCTCGGTTAGGTCAACCATATTTGTCTTTGAAATTCCGTGCTTTTCACATAGATCCTCAAACTTGTTCTTGATTTCCTGGCTCACATCTGGTTCTCGAGCTGTGAAAAGAGTAACAGCAATGGTGTGGCTGCATCTTGTATACTGACCACAGAACTGAATGACGGGACAGAGCTCCTCCACGAGGATGGGGAAATGATTGACAGTATGATTGGCAGGCATGGATAGAACCTGTCCTGAATTTGGCATCCATAGAATATGTTTCTGGCACACTGAAAATCTCAGAGTCCTCCCATCACTGAGCCTAAGAAATGACAAGAGTGGGCATGTGTCTTTAGGAGGTAAGAAGGAGGCAGGGCAGAGCCAAGCTAGGGTTTCTTCCTTCTATTCTTTCCCACCCTAAGACCAGTGTCTGCATGAAAATACTACCATAGAGCGCCACCAGATTGAATGATTTTCCGTCCTTGAAATTAGTGAGCTCAAATATTGCGTAAACATCAGGGTCTGCTTCAAATAGAGTAAATTTATTGTGTCCATCATCTGTG